TTACTTAACACCGGCCTACTTTACATTTTACTTTACACCGGCCTACTTTACACCTTACTTTACTTTACACCGGCCTACTTTACACCTTACTTTACTTTAAACTTGAAACTGGAACTGGACCGACAGAATAGAGACATAACTTGGCCGAAAACAGTCGCCTTGCCAACCAAACCCACCGTGTTGTTAATACTAAAGAAGTTGTAAATCCATACCAAACGCTGTTATGTTACCTTCCAACTTCTAAATGCCCATTAAGCATCAAAACCCGCCCCAATACATCACAATCGGATAACCATTTCTTGTTTATTTTCAGCAACCACGAAACATAAGCGTTTACTTTCTTTGCTCGGCAGTTCAAACATATTGCAGACTTACGCCTAGTCTCTCTCGCAGTCCCAGAACCACATTATTTTCACTTTCGTCCAGACGTTTCTCTAATGCTAAAGCCCTGAATGAAGCAAGTCTAGATTTCCTCAGTTCTGAAAATCCCGTCTCAAAAGGACTCCTTTCCAATTTAAATGGAAATATTGTTTCTAATTACTTATCTTCAGATACTAAGCATTAGTCTTAATGAGACCAAAAACAGCTTCTGTGTAAATTGTGAACATGAATGTACTGGTAAAGCCTAACAATAAGACCAGTGTTCAATACATTGGTATTATACAGACGTTCAATAATAGGTATCGATCTCACCAAGTGGTGTTTGTACTCGGTCTTTTCTCAGTTGTATCAGATCATCAAAGATAGCCTTGAGGGTGTATTGATATGTCCTGCCAGTACATTTAATCATTTGGCACATATAGTCAGGTGAGAATTAGGTCGTTATTCGGGGATACGTGGATCCTAAACGTCCAGCGATCTTTTATAACATATTTTTGCGGTTGTTTGTTGTTTAACGCCTCACTCAGCAATATTTCAGCTATATGGCGGCGGCCTGTAAATAATCGAGTCTGGATCAGACAATCCAGTGATTGAAATCATGAACATCGATCTACGCAATTGGGATACGATGACATGTGTAAACCAAGTCAGTGATCCTGACCACCCGATCCCGTTGGTCGCCGCTTACGACAAGCGTGGGTTACTGAAGATCAATTTTAAACCGGTCTTCACGAGTTCTTATGTAAGTAACAGGTTCTTTTAAGGCTCGAGTGTCTGAATGTGTTTATGTCAACGTTGCGTTGATCAGTGTTTCAGCTATACTACTCACACTTTGCTAAGGATCACAAAAATTCCCAACTTTACTTAAACATAGATTTATAATTTGAAATTGTATCCATTTAAAACTAGATAAATAATGATATGGTAACCGATCTTTAGGCAAACAGCCACTTTAATCTAACCTTATGCACTTGATACATGAGAAACCATAAAAATGGTTTTCATGGCACCAATCAACCATTTTGCAAATCATGGAACGATTCATTGACAAGTACAAAACACCTGTAAATATTAGGTATGGGATCCACAAGATGCAGTGACGTACTGAAACCTAGGATCCATGCTTACAATAATCTTAGATCTTTAAACCAAATTAGACCCCACATCATAGTTTTCTGTTGAATCAATGGCTTGATCCTTAGCAAGGTGTGAATAGTGTATATCACGACGTTTCAGCATGATGATGGAGAAAGGCCCGAAGTCATGCAGGTCGTCGAAGTTATTTATGCCAGTGTTGAAATCAACAAGGTGGGGTATGGTGGAGACAAACCGCCTGGCGCGTTTCAATTATGATCCAAGCGTGAACAGGGGGCGTCGTGCCCCAAGACGTTGCTCATCGCTGCACGTCCCGGTAAAACGGATTCCCATTATATTAGGATAAGCGATTACATCGAAATATCCAAGGTCGTAAATAACTGCCAATGTCATGCATCTGGACTATTTCTGATTGCGGAAAACTCGATAGCAGTTGTCAGTTGATGCAAGTTGTAATCTTCCACAGGATAGCTATAGAGTAGCCTTTTCCCCAAGCTCCGTTCAGCGTTCACAACATAACGCAATCATTGCGGTGCTGTGAAGCTCATGTCTATTTAGCTGTTCTTTTTGTGCTGCCCAACTTTGTGACAATATGTTTTCACCGACCCAATGAATAGTGTATATTTTTGTTATAACTGCATGAAAGCTTTAAGGTGCACTATTTTGGTGGCACACATCATCTTTTAAAACAAAATTTCCCCCTTATTTAAATTATTTGTATATATTTTCGAAATCTAGAGTGTTTTCTCGATACATTATTCTGTTTTCTTAATTTTTTAGTTCTGTTTCGTACTTCCAAGTCTATTTTTCCCAAAACCCGAAATTCTACGTTATTTCAATTATTTTCTCGAAACAAGAATTTCTGTTTTTAATCTGTGCTCGTAGTACCGCACTGGAACCATCAGTGTACCATAATGAATGTGCACCCTTTTGCGGCCGATAATTATTTCAACACTCGTCAATCATACTGGGTACTTGGGCGGTGGGGTTGCCTAGTGGTTAAAGCGTCTTGGTTTCAGAGAGAGAGACAGAGACAGAGTTTATTCCAGTAAAAGGCCGTAAATACATTCAAAAGGAAATTCCAGTGTAGTCAGGGGCACAATGATCATTCAAGTGTGTTTGTAATAATCCTTTTAACATAAAATAGATACAAGGCAACAGATTTTACAGTGTCTACATTAGTATTCTTGAAAAGATTTGCTAAAGAATATACAGTATAAGGCTTTTTAACACATTTTGTAATAAACCTCTCTCTTAGTTGTGAATAGGATTCACAAATGTACAGTACATGAAATTCATCTTCAATATAGGTAAGACCTTTAGATTTACATGATGTACACAATCTTTGATTATAATCAGTGTTGTTATAACGCCCAGTTTCTACAGCTATTTTAAAATTACTACACCTAAATTGTGCTAAAACAGCTCTTAAATGTGTAGAAAGGTTAAACGATAAATAACGTTCAACATTTAATGCAGATTTAAAATACTGATAATAGTTGCATTTGGGGGAATTACTCAGGGAAGAGTACCAGGACTGTTTTAAATTATCTGATAATCTTTGTTTAAATAAGCTTATAAACATCTTTACATCACCAACATCTTGGCTCAACCAAACATATCCAAAACCAAAATTAAAAAGAAGACTTTGAACTTTTGATGCCCATGTTGTTCTACCACTATCATCTAATGACTTAAGCATAAGGTAGCTTTGAAAAGGTAATCTGTCATGAAGAAGTTGTAACAATCTACACCAATATTTTATTACACGGGTCATATAATTAAACTGCAGGGGCAATCTGCCACATGCACCCAGGGCCATGGAATTACAAGATGACCTATTTATTTTAAGATACTTTTTACAAAAATCAAGCTGTACCGATTCAACACTTTTACAATAAGAAGTTCCCCATATTTCTGAGCCATAGCATAATATTGGTGTGATCAGTGCATCAAAAACTTTGAATAATCTGTACAGTTAATGTTTCCGAATTTATTTTGAAAGTGATTAACTGATAAAATTGCCTTTCTAGCCTGAGATGCTAAACACAATTGTGCCCTGGACCAAACAAGTTTTGGTGTAAATATAATGCGAAGATATTTATAAAATGATACTGTTTCTATTTGTTCCCCATTAAAATACCACTTTTCATAAGATCTAAGAGGCCCTCCATTTCTGAAAACAACCACTTTTGTTTTCTTAAGGTTTACTTTCATTCCTGTTTCCTTGCAAAATAATCAAGGGCATTAATCTTTTTCTGCAATTGAATACAAATGTCTGAAAGAGCCGAAACATCATCAGCAAACATAAGGGCATACACGTTATTGAAAACAGCAGTGATAAATATTCCCTTACCACCTTCACTTTGCATAATTGTGCATAAATGATGAATAAATATTATAAATATCTGAGGGCTTAAAATGCATCCCTGGCGGGTACCCACATTACAAGAAAATTGTTTAGAAAGTCCCTCAGGGGTCCTAACACAGGCACAAAGTGAATTATACATACATAGATAATATCTAAGAACTTCCCATCTAATCCAACCTTATGAAGAGAATCTATAAGTATATTATGTTTAAGAGTATCGAAAGCTTTTGAAAAATAGATTAAAAGACAATAAAATCTGCCCTTTTTTTTACATGAATATTTCTGTATGACAGCCTGAAGTGTAAAAATGTGGTCTGTTGTAGAATAGTTTTCCCTAAGCCAGCCTGATATTCACAAATGATATTATTTAAATCACACCAGATTTTTAATCTTTTATTAAGAATTGATGTAAATAATTTACAAAGGGAATCAATGAGGGATATACCACGGTAATTATCGGGGTCGTTCTTGTAGCCAGATTTTAACAAAGGGCAAATTATGCTCTTACCCCAACTGGGAGGGAAATAGCCAGAGTCATAAATTTTGTTAAAAAGAACAGTGAGAGTAGGGACAATGAAACTTCTCGACTCCTTTAGAAATTCATTAGCAATTCCGTCTGGACCAGGGGCTTTACTGTTTGGCAAAGAGAGGATTGTTGTAGATATTTCTTGTTCGGAAAATGGTTGGTTTCATTTCATGCATGCCTACTATGTGTGCAGGCAATTTCTAGCAATCCACGACGTGTTATTGCTTGAGTATCGCCGAAAGCGACATATAACGTTACTCGCATTGATGTCTTGCTAAATGACCTCATTTGCATATCTATCGGACTATATCAAGTTTGTCATGTTGGTCATCTGCACTGATAAAAATATAAATTTTCATTATACATTTATGATGCACTTGAGGTCGTAACCCGTGAAGATCCTGGTTAGAATATTGATCTTCAGTAACTCATGCTTGTCCTAAGGGGCCACTAACGGGGTCGGGTAGTCAGACACGCTGTGTGGTTGACATGTCGTCATATTCCAATTGCGTAGACTAATGCTCGTGCTGTTGATCACTGTGTTTGTCCTAACAACCACGTAATCTACCCAATACCTGAGTGTAGTGGACTTTATACACTTATGCATTAACGTCGTTTTGTTTGCAGGTCGCTGTCACCTAACATGACTGACCGGAAGAAGGGTCATGAGCGGCCAAGTCGATATGGTCTCCCGCTACCGGAAGTCTGCCATCTTACTCTGGACAAGGCCACAATACAGGACCGAGCTGTCTTCATTATCGGCGACGTCCATGGCTGCTACGATGAACTCACAGAACTGATGGACAAAGCTCGGACATTGGATGACACAGTGTTGTTTGTGTTTGTTGGGGATCTGGTCAACAGGGGCCCCAAGTCTAAGGAGGTGGTCAAGCTTCTCCGAAGAACAGAATGCTACTCCGTTCGGGGAAATCATGAGGAGACAACTCTACGTGAACATGCCCGGCTTATAAAGGACCCCGGGTATGATTTACCGGAACGATACCAATACATCCGGACATTTGATGAAGGGGATTTAGATTATTTGAAAAGTCTTCCGTATACTATACGCATTCCTTCTTTACAAGCCATTATTGTCCACGCTGGTCTTGAGCCTGGAGTTGTTCTCGAGGAACAGTGTTTGACGGCCATGACACACATGAGGAGTTTAGTCCAGAGAGGGGCTACGGACCCAACCGTTCACCCATCGAACAAGATCTCTGAAGGCGTACCGTGGGCTTCGTTGTGGACTGGCCCCGAACATGTGTATTATGGCCATGATAAGAAAAGAGGCTATGTGGAACATGGGTTCGCGACGGGTTTAGACACAGGGTGTGTTACTGGGGAACATCTGACCGGTATGTTTATTAATGGATGTCGTAAAACATTGTCTGTACCTGCCCGGAAACAATACTGGGTGGACACGCCGTAAACGAGCGTTGAGGTCCTGATTAGTAGTGGTAGGAGGTGATAGAGTAGTGGTAGTAGGAGAGGTCCTGATTAGTGGTGGGAGGTCCTGATTAGTAGTGGTAGGAGGCCCTGATTAGTAGTGGTAGGAGGCCCTGATTAGTAGTGGTAGGACGTCCTGATTAGTAGTGGTTAGGAGGCCCTGATTAGTAGTGGTAGGAGGTCCTGATTAGTAGTGGTAGGAGGCCCTGATTAGTAGTGGTAGGACGTCCTGATTAGTAGTGGTAGTAGTGGAGGCCCTGATTAGTAGTGGTAGTGGAGGCCCTGATTAGTAGTGGTAGGAGGCCCTGATTAGTAGTGGTAGGAGCTGGTAGGAGGGACAGGCTAGGAGGGTGTGGGGAATTAGTGTGTGCTGATTAGTAGTCACACCATAAGAGTAGAACCAGACTCTTGAGTGGAGGAGGTGACACTTAGGAGGCCCTGGAGGTAGGAGTGGGTAAGGGGTGGGGTAGGAGGTTGTTGAGTAGGGTGGCAGTGGCAGGGAGACATTTTTAGGGAGAGGTTTGTGGGGAATGTGGGTGGGTCACCTATTTTGAGGGTTATGGAGTGACATTTATGAGGGAGATATAGGACAAGGGTGGGTCATCTATGTTGAGGGTTAGGATGTGACATTTATGTGAGATATGGGGCAGGTGTTTGGCCAGCATTATAGAAAGGAAAGATTAGTCTTGCCACCAGGGTGATGAACGGTGGCGAGGCACTGAATGAATGTACAATCATACATAGTATTTCTATCATAGTCATTATATAGCTGCTTCCATATACGAGACAACGACACGGTTCAAGCTAAAGAAATGATTTAATTGAGGAATGGCATAAACCGTTATTAAAAAAATACAAATATGTAGGGTCGATTATAAAGTGCTATTGATGAAGGTCGATTTTATTATCAATGTTATGGGGGCGGTGGGGTGGCCATGTGGTTAAAGCGTTACCTCGTCACGACGAAGACCCGGGTTCGATGGGTATCCCATCTCTGCAGTTGCCCGCTGTGGCACTTATAGGATATGTTTTATACTGTCTTAAAACCATACTCAATCACTTCTCTGAATTCTTTTAGTGGCATATTTGAAGTTGGACTGACTGACTGAGTTTAGTTTTACGCCGCTTTTAGCAATATTCCAGCAATATCACGGCGGGGGACACCAGAAATGGGCTTCACACATTGTGCCCATGTGGGGAATCGAAGCCGGGTCTTCGGCGTGACGAGCCAACGCTAACCACTAGGCTACCCCACCGCCCCTTGAAGTTGGAAGTCTGATGGAACAAGTATATATGGATGACAACTTCTTTTATTCTAGAGCATGACGTTTTGATACAGGTTCTTGTATCGTTTTCAAGTAAGAATACTCATTCAGTCATTATTTCTGTCTGGGTAGAGATATGTACCTTGACAGGGATGTTTATTCCCCTCTATATACATGCTTCCTTGGTCCTTCCTATGGGTCCTTCCTATGGATCTTTCCTATGGATAGTGCTACTTTGTACTGCTGCTGGCGGTTAGTACACGTCATGACCGCCTCAGTGGTGTAGTGGTTAGAGCGTCCGCCCGGAGAGCGGAAGGTCGCGGTTCGATCCCCGACCGCGTCATACCAATAGACGTTAAAATATGGTACTTGTTGGTCCCTGCCTGGCGCTCGGCATTGATGGGTACAAGGACTGGTCGGCTCGGAGTCAGTATAATGTGTCTGAGTGGGGTATTCATGCTTCACTGCGGCATGGTATCTCAGTGGGCTAGCACTATAAAACCAGCTTCAGTCTGGGCTAGTACAAGCAGCCGCACATACACATACACACGCATGCACGTCGTCATATGAGCGAAATATTCTCAAGCACGACGTTAAACCCAATTTCACCTCACCTCACCTAGTACACGTCATAGTAATATATATACTATATATATATAAGCATGTCACAGATATTCAGGTCACAGTAATATATACCATACATATATAATAAGCATGTCACATATATACACGGCATAGTAATATATACCATACAATTATATAATGAGCATGTCACACATGTACACATGACATAGTAATATATATTATATATATATATGAGTGTGTCACAGATGTTCAAACCAAAGACGATCTGTACATTTGTCATGGTAATATATGTCATGTATAGTAATGATGTGGGATGTGTTCACATCAGCAGGCTGCCTGTACATATTTCACAGTAATATATACCATGTATTAATAGTAATTGTGCCAAAGATGTTCAAACCAGAGGCTGTCTGTACACGTCGCAGTAACATATACCATGTATAGTAATTGTACACAGATGAAAACTTAAATCAGCAGGTGTTTGTACACATTTCACAGTAACATATAAGATATGCAGTAATTATGGAAATTATCGTGCGGTTTGTACACGTCATAGTAATTTATAAAGGAATTGCTAGTGTACAGGGATACACAGGATTATACACAGGATTATACACAGGATTATGTCACGAATTTGAATCGTAGACAAGCAAATTTTAACCAACAAACGTGTGACTTAACTCGCTTGTCTTGTCATTTTGGAGCATACATTTTGGGCCTTCATAATGTGCAATCATACACGATACGATGTTTATTTATTCACAATTATGTTGAAACATTTTCTAAGAAATGCTAGTATATTTCGTAATGGTCAGAAATGTCTTCCACGTTTTACGTAAGCCACAATATCAAAAGAGGAAAATCATTCCTCACATAATATGTGCTGTACATTGTCTATGTTTACCCCAGGAGCTGCAATGGGAAATCCCATATCTCCCAAAATAGAACCATATGACTCAGAGTCAAAATATACCAGCCAATGAAATATTCATTAGAGAACCAGCCCGGCGAAGTCAGGTACGCAGTTACGTTAAGAAGCTTGGAAAACTTATTTTTCGCCAGTGTTTATTTGAAATTCAGTTATAGTTTTGGTAAAAAGTTCAGCATATATGTGAAAATATATCTTAGCGAGTAAAAAGATTTTCGAAGGCAGAAGAAAAAGAGATATCGCGCGTCATATTGAGGCTATGTCAAAACCCCACCCGAAAGACACAAGTTGTAACAATCATCTTTGTAAAGCCACAGACTTTGACACAGTCCCTCATATACAACAACGAAAACGTAATAAACATGTGACGTCGACGGAACGTCACGACGTCGTGATATTTACTGCAGACAAATTGTTCAAATAATGGTAATGGCAGCTGTTGTTTAGTATGTGTTTATTTCATATTTTGTTGTTATTTACACTACTATGTAAACTGAAGTCGTTTGTATTTTTCCATTTATTTGCAATTCATCCAACAAAGCAAATCATCGAACAGTGAAAGGAAGATGTATTGACTCAGCCTTCCAAGGTTTTATGTCTCTATTTAGTTATGAGGAATACCCTGGACTCGTTTGATCTTATACGTTCGCTTCTTGCATTATTTGCTGGTCATGATACTGACTGAACAAATGTTTATCTAATTTTAATATTATATTATATAATTTATAAATTGTTAGTTTTATTCGAATTGGTATAAAACAATGACAAATAAACTTGTCGGAGTATCAGCATGTTTTTGTGCTTGGTTTATTTGAGAGGAAGGTCGTATCCATGTATCTACTTACACCAATACCATTACAACAACCTGTGAAGATGTGGGTTAGAGTTTATCTTCGGCAACCCATGCCTGTTGTAACAGGGTTGGGTGCTCAGGCTAGCTGACTTGGTTGACACATGTCATCGTATCCCAATTGCGTAGCTCGATGCTCATGCTGTTGATCACTGGATTGCGTGGTCCAGGCCCAGTTATTTACAGACGTCGTTTAACCGGACTATTGCTGAGTGCGGCGTTAAACAACAAACAAACAAACAGCCTCAGAGGCTGACAACGTATTCCACGTATGCTCCCTCTACTAATAAAATGCTATCTATGGGACCGTTCATAATTTATGGCTGGGGGGGGGGGAAGAAATAATGATTTTTATGGAGAAGCATGTACAATGTGAATGACTCCCCTAAAATTTATGTACAAAGTAAGTGATCCCGCTGCATGTCATGTACAAAATCAATTAAACACCCCACACCCCCACCCCCTTAAAATCATCAACCCCTCTAGCCTTAAATTATGAACGGTCCCTATGGTTCTTCGAGCTTGTGAGTTATCTTTTCAAGGGGCGTAACTCCTACTGTTGTTTTAGGAATATTGTATGCCCGTTTCAGTGCCTTTTGTCTGATAGATCCAATCAAATGCGTGTTGGATTGGCTTAACGCAGAACTGAATTCTATTGTAGTTCTGCCAGTCACGAGATGCCAGCTTGTTGTGGAGGAACGTCCGAAGTGATGGAGGTCTCAGACGTTAACCACTGGGGTGACATCCAGGATCATGGTGTGGTACTGGCAAACCTGGAAACAAAGTCAGAGGGAACAGGGATTCGAACCCACTATTGTTACAGTGGAAGTGTAACCAAAGGTATCCTAGTATTGAAATCACGAAAACACCAAATTACGCTCACTCTCATTAACGTTCCAGATCTTTCAGGAAGATCAGTGAACGTGGATAGAAGAATACCGCCAAGCTATGTGTTGTACGTTTGGCCTCGTACCGTCCGCGGTATACCTGTGACGATCCGTTTTGATCGTCAGTAACCCATAAGAGGGGACTAACGGGATCGGGTGGTCAGGCTCGCCGACTTGGTTGACACATGTCATCCAATCCCAATGGCGTATATCGATGCTCATGCTTATGATCGCTGGATTATCTGATCCAGACTCGATTATTTACAGACAGCCGCCATATAGCTGGAATATTTCTGAGTGAGGCGTAAAACTAAACTCACTCACTCACTGGACTATGTGCTCCGTTCATGCATTTGCATCGAAAATTCGAGAGTTTCTCCGGTTTCTGCTGACACGGATGGGGCGTCATTTCAAACACCAACAATGTCAGCTCCTGACGGTAAATCCATTCCTAAAGTGTATTGAGGTGAGTTGAAATTGGGTTTTACGTCGTGCTTGAGAATATTTCGCTCATATGACGACACGCATGCGTGTGTATGTGTATGTGCAGCTGCTTGTACTAGCCCAGACTTAAGCTGGTTTTATAGTGCTAGCCCACTGAGATACCATGCCGCAGTGAAGCATGAATACCCCACTCAGACATATTATACTGACTCCCGAGCCGACCAGTCCTTGTTGTACCCATTAATGCCGAGCGCCAGGCAGGAACCAACAAGTACCATATTTTAACGTCTTTTGGTATGACGCGGTCGGGGATTGAACCCGCGACCTTCCGGTCTTCGGGCGGACGCTCATACCACTACACCACGGAGGCGGTTCCTAAAGTGTAGTAACCCCAATAAACTACGGACGTCATAAAACTCCAAAGAACTCATCACGAAGTTGCAACACAGTTGTTTTGCAGTGGTTTTGCACATTTAGTGTATTCTCGTATTGGGTGGGGGTGGGGTAGCCTAGTGGTTAAAGCGTCCACTCGTCAAGCCGAAGGCCCAGGTTCGAATCCCCATGTGTACAATGAGTTAAGTCCATTTCTGGTGTTCCCCGCCGTGATATTGCTGGAATATTGCTAAAGGAGGCGTCAGATCATACTCATCGTGTGATATTGTTACAGTCGTAGTTTAATCAAAGATACCAAATCGTGAAAACAACAAACTGAGTACGGAGCAGTTATTTGGTTTCTCACCATAGTAGGAGTCAACGCAAAATTAAAAAATTGTTTATAATTTAATGACTTTTGTTATGTATGGGACTGACAAAATGTATCTATGCATCAATTTCTGGAAAGACTAACAGACATTGTTTCACAAAATTGGAATAATTGTCTGCTTCCAAATAGTATCTCACTAATCGAATGTTAAATTGTTGCTAAATGTGGAAAAGTGTGTTGTTTCTTTACAGGATAAATCTCTCAGAAGAGTTTTCTGTAAATTTAGGATTAGTTTACACAATTTAAATGTACAGATTTTACGTAAAAATACACTAGATACTCAAAACGGTGTGTGTAAATATTGTAATTATGGGGGACAATATGGGGCTTAACTCCAAAAAAGTTCTAGAATTTGTACTTTACTAAGAAAGTGTAATCCCAAATATAACTTATGTTACATTTGACCACTTTCTAAATGGCATTGTGTAATCATTGTAATAAGGTTCCATAGAAAGTAAAGAACATGTTTTCTTGTGGTCATTACCAGATTTTACGGGCGCATTACGGCATGTGTACATACTGTTGTATCTTTCACTACCAAACATTTTAAATTGTCAACCGCAGTAAGTTCTGTATATTTGTGTAAGTTATTTAAATTTAGAAAAACGTGACCCAGTTTATACTGACAACTACATTGTGAAACCTGTCTGTCTGAGTCATGGCAACTAACATTCACAAGAGCATGACCTATATGTATGGGAAGGTGAGGTGAGGTGAGGTGAGGTGAGGTGAGGTGAAAGTGGGTTTTACGTCGTACTTGAGAATATTTCGCTCATATGACGACGTGCATGCGTGTGTATGTGTATGTGTATGTGTATGTGCGCCTGCTTGTACTAGCCCAGACTTAGGCTGGTTTTATAGTGCTAGCCCACTGAGATAGCATGCCGCAGTGAAGCATGAATACCCCACTCAGACACAGTATACTGACTCCAAACCGACCAGTCCTTGTTGTACCCATTAATGCCGAGCGCCAGGCAGGGACCAACAAGTACCATATTTTAACGTCTTTGGTATGACGCGGTCGGGGATCGAACCCGCGACCTTCCGCTCTCCGGGTGGACGTTCTAACCACTACACCACGGAGGCGGTCTGTATGGGAAGGACGTCCCTCAGTTTTCCACTGCAGTGGCCAAATGGGTTGCTGACGTACGTCGCTTGAATATGACCCATGGCCAGGAAGACCTGCAGACGGCAGCGCAAGTGACAGTGGAGATGTTGGGAATGTCTGATAAACGAGTATAAAAGTGGACGAAGTAGCTTCTAACTGTGGCCTTTCCCATGGAAGTGTTTATCAAACCATGAACCTTTGCGCATGTCTAAAGTTTCGGCAAGATGGGTCCCTTGAACCTAAATTAACAAGATCGTCCCTAACGCGTGGAGTCAAGTCAAGAACTCGTGGACATTTACAAATCCAGAAAGCTTCCATGCATGTCTTGTGACTGGATGAAACCTGGATTACAGCTGTGACCCTGATACCAAACAAGAGGCAAAGGCAGTGACGGCACGTGACCTCTCCAGTGCCAAAGACGTTCAAAACGTGACCCTCTGCGGGGAGGATAATGGCCACTGTTTAGGGGGTTCCAAGGGACTTTGATGACTGATTACAAACCACCTCAATGGACAATCACCGGAGGACTGCTATGGTGACTTCATAAAGAATCACCCGTGAAGGTCCGGGTTAGAATGAACCTTCAGTAACCCATGCTTGTCGTAAAAGGCGTCTAACGGGATCGGGTGGTCAGGCTCGCTGACTTGGTTGACACATGTCATTGGTTCCCAATTGCGCAGATCGATGTTCATGCTGTTGATCACTGGATTGTCTGGTCCAGACTCGATTATTTACAGACCGCCGCCATATAGCTGGAATATTAATGAGTGCGGCGTAAAACTAAACTCACTCACTCACTCATGAAGAATCAGAGGAACGTAAAGAAAGAAAACCACCGAGGAATGTTAACTGTCGGTGTTCTGCTTCTTCATGACGATGCACCAGATCAGAAGAGTCTGGTTGCTCAATGTAGTGAGTGAGTTTAGTTTTACGCCGCTTTTAGCAATATTCCAGCAATATCACGGCGGGGAACACCAGAAATGAGCTTCACACATTGTACTCATGTGGGGAATCGAACCCGGGTCTTCAGCGTGACGAGCAAACGCTTTAAGCACTAGGCTGTCCCACCGCCCCACTGGTTGCTCAAGCTGCCACTCGTGATTGGAAGGTCGAACAACTGAGTGATACTTCAGACAGCCCTGACCGCCCCCTTTGCCTAATAAAATATGAGTGACAGGCAAAAAGAAGTACAACATCCACACAGAGCCAGTAAATTATACAGTAAAGTCTTCCTCCTTGGAACTGCACCATTTCGATATGTCATTTCAGACTAATTATCTTTAAAATCCAGGCATAATGGTCTAACATCGGCGTTCCGCTTGGCCTTAACTCCACATTACTCGACAAAGTTATAAAAACGATAGTATTAAGAGAAAATATAAGTGTGAACAACTCAATGACATGATAAATATTATCACAGGTTTAAACCATCTATACACCTCCAAGTCAATGGCTAAATATTATCACAGGTTTAAACCATCTTTACATCTCCAAGTCAATGACATGATAAATATTATGACAGGTTTAAACCATCTTTACACCTCCAAGTCAATGACATGATAAATATTATCACCGGTTTAAACCATCTTTACACCTCCAAGTCAATGGATAAATATTATCCCAGGTTTAAACCATCTTTACATCTCCAAGTCAGTGACATGATAAATATTATGACAGGTTTAAACCATCTTTACACCTCCAAGTCAATGACATGATAAATATTATGACAGGTTTAAACCATCTTTACATCTCCAAGTCAATGACATGATAAATATTATCACAGGTTTAAACCGTCTTTACATCTCCATGTCAGTGACATGATAAATATTATCACAGGTTTAAACCATCTTTACATCTCCATGTCAATGACATGATAAATATTATCACAGGTTTAAACCGTCTTTACATCTCCATGTCAATCATTTTGGATTTAATAGTTAACCAGGAATCAGCCTGTAAGACAACTATGTGTGAAACTATAGAAATGTGCTGTAATTAACAAATGTAGTCCAAATTTCAGTTCACAGATCAATACAAATCAGTACATTGACATACATCAATGCAAAACATTATCACATAAGTAATAAAACTATATAACAATCACGAAAGCTCAAATTAAAAAAATCAAATAAAATGCATATTGCCAAACCCGAATACAAGAGCACATGCAAAAGACACAGGAACATAGTACATAAAGCAATGCCCCGTCTTATATAATACGTGACAGTGTAAAGGAAGGATACGGGTTGAATTTGTAATGTAAAGAAAACCAATACGGAAAATAATTAACAAAAACTTAGTCGTCTGTAACCAATGTTGATACATGTATTCCAATTTCCAAATTACAAATGTTTACTTCTGAAGATCACCTTTTGAGATAGGATAAGGTAAATATTGTCTCATATGATAACGTCACATATCAAAGTTTGATATTAAAGAAAATTTGATATTAAATGAAAATATTCAGACAGATTCACAATAATGAAAACTTGAAAGTGTTGTTTTACTTGTGACATCATCAAGTTTATAAAGATGACAATATTTAGTGAAAATATAAGTATGAGCAAGTCAATGCCATGATATAATTATCACAGGTTTAAACAGTCTTCACATCTTCAATCAGTATGATCCTAAGACTTGCTCAAGTTCTAATATTAGAAAAATGCTTCCTGAAAACTTCTGTAATTACAATTTTTGAAGCTTTGTTTTTATAATTCGATCCAAATATTCAAAATCAATTCTCTTATATGTTCATTTTCTAAATGAGTTCTAAAGGTTTTGATACCTTCTCAGACTTTAATATTCAGCAGGACCCGCTGCCACAACGCGATGTTAGCGCGGCCTGTCATACAGACTCTGAAACAAATATATCCAAGAAGGCCCTTGCAAGTCTAGAATATGTGACAAGTCTAGATTTCCACAGTTTCAGGAAGTCTCTGGGCTCCTTTTCATCATATTTTATTATTATAATATCGGAACTGTTTTTTCTGTAAAATATGTTCATTTCAAAAACTAAATGTTGATCTAATTATAGCGCTACTGTTGATGTGAGTTACGAATACTTCAAGGCCTAACTAAGCGTATTGTAAAATGCCAAAATGAAGGTTCCACATCCATGCAGCCCTCTGTGGATCCGCCATTGCCTAAAACCAAAGTCCCCCTTCAGAAGTCTACCTTCAGGTCAAGGTCTTACCCTCGGCGCTTTCCCTGATGCTACCTGAAGCATTCGTCACAACTCGCCCCTTTCCGTGACCTCAAAAAAGACTCGTCGCCCTGACTAGTGTTATTCTGGGACAAGCCCAAAAGCGATCTTCTTGGAGGTTAAAATGCGACAAACCAAACAGAATGCATGTATGGATTGAGCTACTTTGAGAAAGATATTCCAGAGTACTTAAATCGGTTATGGTATTATGTCATTGTTTAGAAAATCGTGAAAGACAGTTATCGTCATTTTGACATTACAAAAAAGAACACCATACGTATTTGAAGTTTTTGATAAGGATAGGAGAGATACAAATACACCCACGTGCGTTTCTTTCCACTTTGAGATATATTTTAAAGGAATTTGTGTGCATCTATTTATGGACTGAAATCAGATGTTGTTTTAATTGCCCATTGAGGAAAGTGATTCCGATTTGCGATTCTTAACCGTATTTAGAAGTATACATTTGAAAATATAAGGTGAACAGCAGGTAATTACATTAGAATATGTTTTCAACAAATATCATCATTATTATTATTATTTAAAACAGGTGAAAATCTTTTAAAACAAACATTTTAGTGCTTCAGTTATGTTTCCTGCTGTTGAAATAAAACAGAAATAGAGTTGGCGTTCATATTAAGTAATTCTTATGTTCAGGCGCCTTCCGGACAGGCATGAGTAGCTATTCGGCTTTTCACGGAATAACACGAGTGGCTACGAATGCAACCGAAGGTCTTACATTCACTGCATTTGTTTTACGTGACTCCACTTGACCCACATTCCATAACTTTTATAATTAAATTCTAAGACACCAGAATCGTAACTGAACAGGTTACACCAATCAGCTTTGGGCTTGACATATGTTTTTATGGCCCCGCCCGTGTTGAAGGCTGGACAGCCCAACTGCTCCGCCCTCGAAGCAAGTTGTTTAGGGAGAGAGCCCTTTTCCCCATGTCTTACGTAGCTCGCAGGCGTCCACGTCCAGGAAAGGAGAATCAACCCAGGGGTAGTAGACCCAGTCGTCGTCGTTGAAGTCGAGCCAGTCGTCAATGTATTCAGTCAAGGTTTCCATGGTGATACGTGTCGCTGCATTGTATCTGCAGACATGAATTTCAACTGTATCAGTATGGACCCGGAAGTTGAACAGTAACACATGCAGAACAACTGAGTCGTCATACACACACAAAGACACGCACGCGCAAACACACCTTATTTTAGCAATAGGTGTTTGTTATGGTGTACGAATGCTTTATTTTAGTATTAGCCCAAACACCGTTTTTATCATATACCACATGTGTGAATATCGCCCTGTAGTCCTGATGTCATCTATGTTTTCATTATTTACTATTTTTTACTAACTCCATGATTCTGTCGTATAGAGCAGCCAAAACATCCTCGCCAAGGTTAGAACTCATACTTCCACGATTTCTTGATGGAAAGCAACTCGAGCAGACGACTCAAGGGGCTCCGTCTATTGAAGTTTCGAGCGTTTGAGCGTATTGTTTTCCGTACCAGTTTAGTATCCGGGCAATACGGCTGATATGGATTTTCGGCCCTAGGGCTGATATGGCTGATATGCATTTTCGGCCCGGGTGGTCAATATGGACATATACCGACAGCCAGTATTGCATGTGAAAAATGGTCCATATTATTCATAAGTATTATTCATATTCATAAGACGATGGTGATACTACCGCAATACCGCCTGTGGCATTACTTGCTGTCAACTCTATTATATGGTTTCTGCTGTCAAATAATGTCCCACCGATGGTCGAAAGATAGGAAACCGGCGTCGACCATCGGTGGCGATAGGGATATATGTAGGTCCACTTTTGGGCAGATTGTAGCATCTGCCCCACCTTCTGGATATCCAGTCTCTTCTTGTTCCTCGTCCGCGCCTTCTATTTCCTCGTAGACTCGTCGAGAATAGTGTAAGACAGCACCCTGGCGTCGTTTTACCCTGGCATCTTTTTCAAGATGGCGGCGCCTACCGGTCACGTGATCCAAGATGGCAACACTTCCGGTCCAAGATGGCGGCACTTCCGGTCAGGGGAGATCACTCGGGTTTCGGTTCCGGTTCCGGTGTGCGTGCGCATCACGATGACGTCACCTTCGGGCCAAGATTGCGGACGCGTTTCAAGATAGCGGCCCATCCGGTGGGATCTCGTGGGATATCGAAAGCGTAGACACCATGCAAGATGGCGAGCGGACGAGCGGTGGACGGGGAAGGAGAGGGAGGGAGGGTGGTGAGAGGACGATGGCGTGCGTGGAAAACGATGGAGGCCTAGAGAAGGGTGTGGTTCAAGCATTGGATGGGAAAAACCTGAGTTATATAGCTGAGGTTGATGACGTCACTTTGGGCCACCGGGTTAGTGTGGCTTGACGTCATAGGGTGTGTGACGTCATGGGAAAAACGTGGGTCTTATCAGTCCTCACCATGCCGTCACCACGAATGAACGAAGCAGAAGAAGAAGAACTTGAAGAGGAGCCCATGCCCTACTGGTTGGAACCGACGCCCCAAATAAATGCCAGGAAGTTCCGGACCGACAACCATCGCTATAAGTTCGCTGAAGTTCAATCCAGCTTGGTTGCAGCGTCAACAACCTGAAGACCTCCCACGTCGTTCTCAGAGAGCAGTTTGATGCTCTTGTTAGACCTGAGAAACAATGTGAACGGCCAGGATGGTGATCGCGTGGGATTGATCCTGGATCATCCAGACGTGGATTCACCCGTCCCCAACACGTTACAGCGCATGGGTGACCTCCAGGGGAAACACATCCTGGCCAAAGTGGAAAAAGTAAAGCAAAGTAACCGCGAGTTGCATATCGATGAGACCATGGAAATATCCTTACTACACGTAGACGATCCGGCTCTCCTAGGTCAGGGACACGGTCGGCCAAAGCACATTGTCGGCTTAAGTGCCTTCCTGGAAAAGAAGCATTGCATCGTACAAATCAAGAATGAGGATCAACTCTGCTTTGGCCGTGCCCTGGTCGTGGCCAGGCACCACGAACACAAACCCGATCCTGTGACCAAGGAATGGACGAAGGAATGGAATCACCTGTGTGACCATCGTAGACCAGCGCAGTTGAGGGCCGCCAAGGGCTTATTTCGTCAACTCAAGATTCCCGAAGGGCCTTGTACAGGGCGTGCCACGTGGGAGTTGTTCAGTCAACGTTTGGCGCCCTACTACCAGCTCCAAATCTACTCCCAAGATGTCATGAATTGTCTCCTGTACAAGAGTGAAGTGGCTCAACCCACTTGCTCCTACAGTATTTCCATCAACATCTCGTGAAACCACCCCAGATTCTACCTCGAGGGAATCTCATCTTGCAGATGACCGTGGGGCGTCTCGTCTTCAAAGATTCACTCAACTGCCTCTCGATGGCTCTGAAGCAGTGTCCAAAAACCTTTGCCTTGAGGGAACTCAAAGAACGTTACTTCCCTCACTTCTTCAACACCAAAGTTCACCAAGGCTATGTGGGCCCTTATCTTCCCGTTTCTACCTACGATCCTGACGGTATGTTTTCTGCCGAACGCAAAGCTTTCTTGGCCTGGTACGATGCACGCGTGGCTGAAAGAGCTGTCTTTGATCTGGATGAGGAATTGTTGACTTACTGACTTACTGGACATTTTGCGTCGAGGCTGGGCTGCATTCCGCAACATGTTCATCCAACAAAACGATGTGGACCCTTTCTATGAAGCAGTGACTCTACCCATGGCTTGCATGCACACCTTCCGAAAACTGTTTTTGGACCCCCGCACCATCACCATCATACCTCCTCAGGGTTATCTCCCCCAGTGCCGCTAGTCTCTGCAGTGTCTCCACTGGCTCAACTGGGTCATGTACCAACACCCCGACCTCCACATCCAGCATGCCCGGAATGGCGGAGAAGAAGGCTTTGACTGTGCTGACGGCAGTCACTACATGGTGGACGGTTAAGACACTGAGACACGCGCCGTGTACGAATACTTGGGTTGTTTCTGGCACGGATGTACTCGCTGTTACAAAACGTGCCGATGTGAACCCCATGCTAGCTTTGGTACAGCCCCTTGGGAACGATACCATCATACGTTGTACCGACTGGCGGTGTTACGTCAACATCCCGACATCGACCAAGTGGTGACCCTGTGGGAATGTGATTTTCGGAAAGAACAGTGGGCATCCCGAGATCAAAGATCATCCTCCCGTGTCAGACTTGTTCGAGCTCCACGGCCTCATCCAGTGCCGAGTCTTGCTACCCACCGATCTCTACCATCCCGTTCTTCATTACCACGGCCAGGGCAATATGTTATTTTCTCTGTGTCGTACTTATGCTGAAGCACAGAGGACTGGTTCCTGCCCCCACGAGGATGGAGCTTCATTATGCCGTTCGAGTAACCTCGGTATATCCCACGCTCTCGGGCAATACATAGAGATTATAACACGGGCAAGTGTGTCATACGACTTATACGAAACGAGTGCGAAATTTTACAAAATTTGGCAAGAGTTTCGTATAAGTCGTGTGGCACACTTGCAAGTGTAATAATTTCGTTATTATCCATATTATTCATGTGCATTTGTGTAGTAAAACACGGTAAGCAAGTGTGACTGCCCAGTTCATTGACGTCACGTTCAATTGTTTAATGATGTCACAGACGACGAAACACAGAAACAATGGTTGCTAGGCAAAAGTAATCTGTGCACATATGATATTTATGACACTGGTTTTGTTTCACCATATGGATAATAACAACATTTAGCCGCTGGTGTCGTAAACATAGTATGACATGGAAACTCATATAATATAGTCTATAACATGCGATTTACTTTCAGAGTAAGTGAGTTAAAAGTGAGTCTCTTTAGAAATATTTCAGCCATATTATCACTGGAACAAGCTATCCTGTTACTATACCTTAAAAGCTGCCATCAAGGGATAATTTAATAACTGTACGTCACTAAATGTTTTAAAACTGGTAAGGAAATATAACATCTGATCATTAGATCACAATACAGAGTAACAATGGGGCCATAGAAAGGTAAGGTCAACATATATTACGGTCCATGAGAACTAACGGTACCTGTGCTTCCTTTATGATTTTACTAGTAGATTTTACTTACAGAAGCAGATTTATGAATACTAATGCATAAAATCATATTGTAGTGGGTATAAGATGGTTTGGACGAATCATGTAAGATAGTTTGGATGAATTTTATGATAGATACCTTACCTCGAAGATAATCATAATTATCACAATCATATACCGTCTGTTGTTGCAACATGTCTGGAGATACCAACTTGTACCGAGCACATAGTTTTAAATGAATAGATTTTGAAATTATTGTCATCTAGTATTCAAATTGAAAGAAACTGCTTCTTTTAAATAATTTATTTTTATATGTAGTGCCCTTTTTGTGATAGTTAGATAAGGAAAAAATCAATTACACCACTTGACAGAATAAAGATATTTAATAACAATAACTAATATTTAACAGGATCTGTTTCACACAGTGGAAAACAAAACAAACATTCGTCACCCATGGTCGCTCGGACGTTTTAACTTTGGTGGAACACACCTGACAAGCATATAAACATAAGTAGGAGCTGGTTCTGTGTTGTTTCAGGGTCTGTATGACAGACTACTCTTTCCCCTGCGCTTTGAGCATGCATTGATGTGTGGATTTAGTATAGCGCATAAAAATGGCCAGTAGGAGTAGTGAGTGGGTGAATGAGTGAATGAGTTTAGTTTTACGCTGCACTCAGCAATATTCTAGCTATAAGGCGGCGGTCTGTAAATAATCGAATCTGGACCAGACAATCCAGTGATCAACAGCATGAGCATTGCTCTGCGCAACTGGGAACCGATGACATGTGTCAACCAAGTCAATGAGCCTGACTACCCGATCCGTTAGTCGCCTCTTACGACAAGCATGGGTTACCGAAGGCTCCTTCTAACCCGAATCTTCACCGATGTGTGGAGAGGGAAGGATGATTTCACGTGACCATTCTTCAGTTGTCATATTAATATTCTCTGTAAATCAATTATGGACAGATAAGTAATATTTTATGGTTACATAATTGTGGTTATGATTTTCATGAGATGCGAGGAATGTATCCTCCAAGTACAGGGGCACCATCAAGTTGGCTTAGAACCCCTTCATATCTTCAAGGATTTCATGATCTTTATTGACAGGACGGGTATGCCTTTCATATAGCTTGAACCCTTTAAAAGGCATTTTCATTCTGCCCTGTGTCCCCATATGCTCTATGTGTTGTTTGTCTGTAATCAGACTTAAATATACAGCAAATTACAGCATCTCTAAGCTCAACTTCGTTGTCAGTGGTCAAATGTGACAGGTTATATTTGGGATTACACTTTCTCATCAAGTACAGATTCTGGCCATGGGTTACTGAAGATCAATATTCTAACCCTTACCTTCACGGGAAAGTGAGTGAGTGAGTGAGTTGGGTGTTACGCCGCTTTTAGCAATATTCCAGCAATATCACGGCGGGGGACACCAGAAATGTCACGGGAAAGTAGCAGTAGTAGTAGTAGTAGTAGTAGTAGTAGTAGTAGTAGTAGTAGTAGTAGTAGTAGTAGTAACTCACCCTGTCGAGTCTCCTCCCGTGACGTGGATCCCCAAGGCGACATACTGGTTGAGATCAGGTATCTTCCAATAGACCGGAGACCCACTGTTCCCGTCAGTGGTGGCGTCTCTGTACAGAAAGTGGTAATCAGTCATCCTCTCCAACTGAACGTCCAGTTCCCATTGGGTGCCGCGAGGATAACCTGGAGTGCCTTCCTTACCGCCTGTGGGTCGACGTGGGTACCCGCTCATGAAGACGTTGGCAAAGACGGAGTCGTCGTCGGTGTATAGCATCGGCTGGAAAGCATGTTCGCAGGGAATAGGATCAGTGGAAACGTCTAACAGGATCATTCCAAAGTCGTACTCTTGTTGGCCTTGAATGAACTGAGTCGGTACTCTGAAATCATCGGACTTCTTGATGATTTCTCCTAAATTGAAAGGACCATTGCGACCGAAACGTATGACGACTGCATCAGCAAACCTTTTACGGCCGACGTCGTAGAGATTGTGTCCAGCTGTCAAGACGAGGAAACGTTCTTTTCCGAGCGCCTCCCTCTTGAACAGGAATCCGGTGCCAGCATATTTTGTCAATCCGTAGTAAAGGCTCAAATGAGCAATGGCACAGTACGGACCGTCCGATGGCCGGTCTACCTTATTCCTTTGGTCCCCTGGGGGAGTGAAGACCTTTTGGTGGAGACCTTTATGTCTGTGGGTTTCCATGGTATGTTGTACACAACCGTACTTTGCTTTCTGATTTAACGCTATCGAACAGTTAGGTATTCATGCGTTGGCACAATGCCAGAAAATGAATCACGCTCCTCGGGAATCTCCTATTTTTAACACCTTTTAACTCCGGATTCAAAATTCCCCTGAATTCGTTTAATAACGTTATGCTAAATGTCCTTCAAAGATTAGTCATACTCAACAATATAACACCCAGTACTCAGCCTCCACAATCCCAATCCACAAAGCCACCTTTTGAAAACGCACTATTATGACTTCTTTACTTTTGAAGGTCGGTGAGTCACTTCCTTACAATGACGTCACAATAGAAACGTGACGGGAATGAGTTAACCGATCCAGGAAGTATTACCTTCTACTAAGTCGTCTTTGTTATCAACTGTGAGGGGATATTAGCAGTTACAAAGACAGCCTTTCCGTCGTTGGAGAATAACATTTACTGTTACTCGCAGCTAACAGTAGCTATATGAAATAGCATGACCATATAAGGCAGTGTCATATTTCTCATCCTATAATGAGGCGAGGCATCACACAGTGGTAGATATTATAAGGCGTACCCGTTATCATCTTTTATATCCATTAGTCATGCACGTTGATACGTTGAACATGTCACAGTGTGCACCTTACACACGTCGGGGGCGGTGAGGTAGTCTAGTGGTTAAAGCGTTCGCTCGTCACACCGCATTCTCTTCCCACAGAGGTTACTTGTCATATCTTCCTACGAACCTTTGTTCTAATACGGCCACATTTCCCGGTTCTCGTAAAATGCCCTAGCGGCAAAAGATCGCAACACGAATTATCTCCCTTCTTTCTATCCAATCAGAACACCTGTTACATCGACTTAGATTCAACTTGACTAACACACGCAAATGTGGGGCCACAAATATCCCCCATCTGCCGGGGACTTGTGTTGATGTTACACACAAGACGTTTAATGGCTAGCTTGTCCGTTGTCAACGAAGGCGATGGAGACGCCACTGATCCGCCATAACATGACTGAGTTCTGTCTAGTAGAAACGTTTGCGCATCGCGCAGGGGAAGAGGTTTAGTTTTCTCGAAGCATACGGAAATTACCGAGGCCTTACCGAGGCATAAATCTGATGGCCTCCAATCACGAGTCTTGAACGCTCACACCATGAAAGGGCCGTATTAGAACAGAGGTTACGTAGGAAGATATGACAGGAGTAACCTCTGTGGGAAGAGAATGCAAGGTGGATGGCATTGTTTCCATTTAATGATTTACTCTAATAAACAATAAGAACACCTGTAAGAATCTTAGTTATGTTTTATACTTTATTTTACTCTTAGTCCATTATAGCTCTGCACAGTCACTCATTCTCAATAAACCGTTGCATTGATGTCTCTGGTTATTTATCCTAAAACAACAGTGTCCTATTAAGCTCCAATGATGTGATCGTTTTGCAGATTTTGCAGAGTATGTTATAACTGTGTCTCCAATTTTCATGCAACACACGACTAACGTCATAAATACATTGACGCAAACAATATTTACGGAGTAAAAACAATTATTTGGGTATATTTTAAGTGATAATACTGTACTTTACAAGAAAACAATATTTGGTTCTTACATAAGAATCGTTTAATGTTTCTACACTCATTTTATGTGTCATTATTCAATGGTTATGGTTAAGGATGTAACGTACGTGACCACCAACTGTACCTCATCTTGAGATTAAATAAATATAGTTCATTATTAAAATAATGCATGAAGTTGTTTTTATGCAATATGTCATAAAATGTGTCAAGTTCGACAAAATATGGGATCAATAAGGACAAACTTGTACATGACAGAAATGTACGTTACCGTAATGTACGTTACCATCAGATACCAAACTGCCAACAACAGGGCGCTGAACGTGAAACAGCTTGTTTTGAAACATAAGACAGCCGACCACATCTTACGACTTACAAGATTATCAACAAATTTTGGTAAGTGCTTTGGGTGTCTTTTGTCAGGATAATGAGGTCGACTAAATATCTGAAAAGTCACTTTATCTGCACATTGGTTCCTCATCTGTAGCACGTACTTTCTGAAGAAATGTCATATTGGTGAATCTTATGTGAAATACGTTGTATGGGTGTTACTGAATAAGTGTAATGTACGTTACAATTGGTAGCATATATTTGACCGAATTGTCAAATGAAATTTCAGTGATACTTATATGATATCTTGTGAAGTAAATGTTATCTTTTGAAGGACATGTTGACAACTCTATTGATTCATATTAATACCATTCTTGTTTGCATTAAGATCCATGGAAACCTCCATAACATATAATTACCACTGCTAGTCTTTGTTGATAGTATCATGACACATTCCGGACAATGTGCTAAAGTAACATATTGTCAAGCTGATATATTTATGACAGACAGACTTACTATGTCTACTACTTAAGCTATTTAACCTGTATTTATGTGAATCTGTTACTAAGAAACACATGCACAACATCTGGTAACGTACATTTCTTCAAGAAGAAGAAATATATGTTTCAGTGGCACAAACGCGAAGATGTAATCTGGACGTCGCGATTAGATATTTTGCGTAAAGTAGATGATCTAGTTCCTACTGGCAAGTCTCAGAGAATGTTGAGCGAGTGAGTGAGTTAAGATTTAAAGTCACATCGGCAATATTTCAGCCATATCCTGACTACCAACAAGCAATAATTTTAGACAAAATACAGGTAAATCAGCGAAGGACAGTAAAACCAACTAGAACATCACAGATATAAGTATATAACTAGTATGTAATTCTAAAACAGCTTAATTACTGAAGACAAGACAATACGGGCACGGGCTATACATCGCCAACAACTGAAGGTAGATCACCATACTAGGAACCATGGGGACTTACAGTGCTTTTGCTACCTGCATGGACCCTAGCTGGATTTACACCACCCCTTCAGCCGCTGTAACAAATATACCACATTTAAAAAGGTGGAAAGTTGAAATTGACTTTGAAGGCTTTGGGACCTCTGTGTCCTCTCAAGAGGACAATGATTTTACGATACTTTAACCCCCTGTGAGGATACAGCCACTAATAATCGTAGTTTACTGTTGCTTATTTAAAATATCATTTATAAAATATCATTTATGTATTCACAAAACATATGGTTCAGAATTTATCTAGTAATTCTATTTCCTTTACAAAAACAATTATTACATGATAATTATTATTATAAAAAGGTCCTTGATTGTTTTGACATTGAAGTATTTGTCCCTTGTGATGGAAAAATCAATAGAGTCAATCAGGACATGCTTGACCGTGATTCTCTCATCACAGGGGATACAAAACGCAGGATCATCACCTTTTAACAGGTATTCATGAGTATATTTTGTATGGCCAATGAGACATCGTCGCATGATGACCTCTTCAAATCTGGACTGACAACCCAAGTAGGTGTAACTAATATAGGGTTTTATGGCATGTAATGTATTGATACCTATTTGAGTGTCCCACTTCTTCTGCATCAGATCACGGGTGTACGATCTAATGACAGCTGTGTATGGAATAAGAAATGGTGTCCCAGATTTGTTGAGTGCTGCCTTAGCAGCAAAATTAGCCATTGTGTTACAGAGAATGTTGAAGTTGGATGAAAACGAAATAAACTTGGTTGTGCAGGCATTTCAATCATGGATAGATTCACTGTAATGTACGTTACTTGAAACGGAAGTGTTGGTCACATATTGTGGAACAATTGTTTGTTCAAGTTAATTTGCATTATTGCAGTTTGAGTTCTTTGCTACATAAGAGTAATTGCGTCAAGCAAAATCAAAACATTTTGATATATATGTTGAATACATCGACTTATTGTTTCAACTGAAATGTACGTTAGCTGTTTATGATTTTAAATTGTCAGTCTAATCTTTTGGATTTCATGTCAATTACTTTTAACATACTACGGAAACACATCTACTGTACTTTTGAGGTGTCAGGAGTATATTTTATATGTGCGAGTCACATTTGACATTATACGCAATTCATTGTAATGTACGTTACAGTTTACATCATTCTGAGTTGGGTGAATAAGCTGTGAACAAAATAGTTTAAACGTTTTTTGTAGTCATTCATTTTCTATAGCTAAGAAAATGAATGACTAGAGACCATGCAGGTGAATGTACGAGACATGACAGTTAGACCTAAACGTATCAAAACTGATTCACATACCCCATATATGTGTTGGGTTGCATTTCCAGGGACATGTTCTTGCTTTCTAATGATTATTTTGCAACCAGACAATGCTAATATAAGATGCCTTCAACAAGATGAACTAGAAAACTGCAACATGATGTGTTGGTATGTTCATTACACCCCAGATGTAAGTGACACGTCACATTTATTGGGGTATGTGAATCAGTTTTGATACGTTTAGGTCTAACTGTCATGTCTCGTACATTCATCTGTGTACTGATACTAATGATTTAAACAGAACTACATTCAAAGATTGATAGGTTGCTGGTAACGCACATTACATGTTCCAAATTTGCTGATTAGTGCTGGTAAAGTTGGATGGAGATTTCTGAATAAAGGAATTGACTTTATATGCTATTTTTTTCTGTTCCGTATACTTGAAAACCTTCATAACATAGACAACGTCTTTTAATTCCAACTGCGTGACATTTATATTTTTCAATTTGCGTGTGGTAAATGCAACGGTTTATTGAGAATGGGTGAGTAAGCCTTGTTACTTTGTTCTCTGGACAGTCTTCTGGATCGCCAGATCATTGGTCAGCAAACGGTTGAAATCGGTCTTCCTACAACGCATGGCATGTATTACAGATGTACCATTGCACAAATAGTAGAAAGTTATGTAGTTACACAACCCAAAGCGGGCCTCAAATTATGAGCGTCGAGCTTCGTACAGCGCGGCGCTGTGTGAGAAACGGCGTCGTCAAAGTTTGTTACGCGCTGCAGTGGAGCTTGCGTCGATTTTTCTTATCAAGGGAGTTAACCGTGTAAATGTTTCCGGGCTGTCAGTCAAATAAACGAAACACAATGATATATAACTATCTGGAATGCAACGGTAAAAGTTAGTGACCAAAAGTTAGTGATTTTTATTACATGTGTCAAGTATATTATGCTAACGATCCTGTTATCTCAACATTTGGCAGAGAATACTGTTTTACCAGCGTTCGTCTGGTGCTGGTGAAGCCACACTAGTGAAACACCAGACATTGGTTTGTTTGTTTATATGGCTCTGGGACATCAATATCACTGTACTGTTTTAATGGTGTATGACCTAAAAGATGTAGTTTAGCTTTACCGTTGTCGCTGGATATCCACAATTCTGGACCGTGTTTCGAGAAATCAGTGCAATATCTATTAAATAGTCTAATAATCTGATTTTGTTGATACATGTCACTGGAACCATGTCATCTTATCCCAGTTGCGAATATGGATGTGCATGACGTCAATCACTGGATTGTCTCGTCCCGACTCCATTATTTACAGACTGCAGGAATATTGCAGTGTATCATTAAACAACAAACTAACAAGTAATGTATCATCACATTGCAGATTTCGAACGCTTATTGGCACATCATTGTCAAATCCACATGCAGGAATATTGCAGTGCATCATTAAACAACAAACTAACAAGTAATATATCATCATATTGCAGATTTCGGACGCTCATGGACACATCATTGTCAAATTTATAAAAAGACTTCTCTGACTTAAAAATATGAGACATCATATAAGTATTTACAGTGTGTTTGTAGTCAAACAAAGCTCATTATAGTGCGAGTAAACACTGCCGTTTGAAAATGTATGATGTTCTAAAACATAATTTGACGATAATTATTAACTGACAGGTATAAACAAGTAAATATGGAATTTCTATCATGTCTATCATGTGTATATTGAAAACTGTCTAATGATCATGAAATCATCCGTGATAGGATGTGGTGTTGTCTTAGTTTGTTATGTCATCATTCAAATTGATAAGGAGGGGCGGTGGGGTAACCTTATGGTTAAAGCGTTTGCTTGTCACACCGAAGGCCCGGGTTCGATTCCCCACATGGGTACAATGTGTGAAGCCCATTTCTGGTGTCTGATATTGTTTGAATATTGCTAAAACCGATGTAAAACCATACTCTCTCAATTAAATTGATAATAATGACTATATGGCCAGCCATATACATGTTGTGAATTAGTTATTTATCATGTTTAGAGTAAAGAAGATTTAAGAGCAGAAGCTCTCACTCACATTAATGAAAGCTGCAAGATGTGATAAATGTCAATATTTGCTCACATACACATGAGCTGAAATACCTTAATTTTACCCATAAATGTTCTTTGTTTTTCAGAATTCAACCGTACCACCAACTCGTCTCATCAAAATACAGATTGCTTTCCATATTTCACCAGGAAACTACAGTACAAATGGTCTTAGATACAATGCAGTTTGTATTGTCTGTTGTATAATGCAGTGTGCTGTTGAATCTCAACTAACCCAAGGGGATATATTGTCCTTGAGCTGCCAACAAAGGGAAACAACTCTGGGAGCAGTATCCACAGAGAAACATGGCTTAGACATTTTATCCCTTGTTGCTGTTGATGTCCGTGACAAGCATGACCCTGAGGTCCCCATGTCGTCCTTTACAATGGAGGACACTCATGATGGCTCTCTGCAGCATTCAGTAGGTCATCTTAACAATGTGTACCTTAATAATGACACTGTAACGAAGTGAGGCTCAAGCACCTGCTGAAGATTCTCCTCAAGCAAAGGTTCAGGATAGGATCTCGGCTCAGAGAGTGAGTGAGGGCTTGGAGGACGATGAAGATGAGGATGAGGATGAAGATTCAGATGATGAGGACAGTGACCCAGACTATGAAGCTGAGGAGGATGACATCATCAACGAAATGCTTTCAAAAGGCGACAAGAAGGAGAAATCAGATCGACCAAATTCCGATTCCGAGGAAATTAAAAAGACACCAAAATTCAGACAAATTACCCAATTTACCAAAGTCACGGATCCTTTGGACAGCAGCAAAGTCAAATATAAACCTCCAAAGAGAGTTCCAGGGAACAAACCATATAAATGTGAAGTTTGTGGGAAATGTTTTTCTGTGTCCAGCCATCTGAAGACTCACAACAGGATCCACACAGGGGAGAAGCCTTATAGTTGTGACATTTGTAGCCGGAGATTCTCGGAGACTGGTAGTCTGCAGAGACATGTTCGAACACACACAGGAGAAAGACCCTTTAAATGTGAACTATGCGGAAAGTGTTTCATGGAGTCCGGACATCTCCAGAAACACATCCGGACTCACACTGGAGAAAAACCTTACACCTGCCCAACCTGTAACAAGTCTTTCACGGAGAAGGGTAGGCTCCGGAAACACATCCGGGTACATACAGGTGAAAAGCCTTATCAGTGTGACTTGTGCGGAAAAGCGTTTAAGGAGTCCGGCCATTTGAACGTCCATCTGAGAACTCATTCCGGGGTGAAGCCATTCAAATGTGGGATCTGTGCGAAGGAATTCAAGGCTTCCACTAGTCTCAATTCCCATATCAGGTTCCACACTGGGGAGAAGCCGTATCCGTGCGAAGTCTGCGGTAAAGAATTTGTGGACCTCCCTCACATGACACGACATCGTAAGATTCACAACAAGGTGAAAGCATTTACATGTGACACTTGTGGAAAGGCTTTCACTGATGCGGACAAGCTTTCCACACATTCACGAATCCACACAGGCTTGAAGCCATACAAGTGTGACATCTGTGAGAAGACGTTCACAGTAGCATCGAGTCTGAAAGCTCACAGCACTGTTCACACTGGAGAAAAGCCATATTCGTGTCACATCTGTGATAAGAAATTCCCGTATTCCTCCAGCCTCCGCCTCCACATCAAGAGCCACAGCGGTGAGAAGCAGCACAAATGTCATGAATGTGGGAAAGCTTTTGCTATCGCTGCCAGTTTGAAACGTCATGAACGCTCGCACACTGGGGAGAAACCCTATGTCTGCAGTTTCTGTGGGAAGGAGTTTTCCGATTCCTCGTCACTACAGAGACACTGCCGGTCACACACCGTAGACAGAAGTTTCAGAGACACTGCAGGTCACACACTGTAGACAGGTTTCAGAGACTGCAAGTCACACACTGTAGACAGGTTTCAGAGACACTGCTGGTCACACACTGTAGACAGAGGTTTCAGAGACACTGCTAGTCACACACTGTAGACAGGTTTCAGAGACACTGCAGGTCACACACTGTAGACAGAGGTTTCAGAGACACTGCAGGTCACACACTGTAGACAGGTTTCAGAGACACTGCAGGTCACACACTGTAGACAGAGATTTCAGAGACTGCCGGTCACACACTGTAGACAGACGTTTCAGAGACACTGCCGGTCACACACTGTAGACAGAGGTTTCAGAGACACTGCATGTCACACACTGTAGACAGAAGTTTCAGAGACACTGCCGGTCACACACTGTAGACAGAGGTTTCAGAGACTGCCGGTCACACACTGTAGACAGAGATTTCGGAGAGTCACACACTGTAGACTGGGTCACACACTGTAGACAGAGATTTCAGAGACTGACATGTCACACACTGTAGACAGACAGACAGGGTTTCAGAGACACTGCCGGTCACACACTGTAGACAGAGATTTCAGAGACTGCCGGTCACACACTGTAGACAGAGGTTTCAGAGACTGCATGTCACACACTGTAGACAGAGGTTTCAGAGACACTGCAGGTCACACACTGTAGACAGAGATTTCAGAGACTGCCGGTCACACACTGTAGACAGAGGTTTCAGAGACACTGCATGTCACACACTGTAGACAGAGGTTTCAGAGACACTGCAGGTCACACACTGTAGACAGAGATTTCAGACACTGCACGTCACACACTGTAGACAGAGGTTTCAGAGACACTGCATGTCACACACTGTAGACAGAGGTTTCAGAGACACTGCAGGTCACACACTGTAGACAGGTTTCAGAGACACTGCCGGTCACACACTGTATTTGATTGAGTTAATTAGGATCAAGTGCTTCAGGTTGTACCCTCGGAGTACACCCATCCCATGAACAAGAGACGGTAGGCCGTCTTGCATACATGTTACGTGTCTGACTGATAACATCAGTGAGATGGGAGATTCAAAACCTGGAGAAATCAAGATTTCCTTCATTTAGAGCTTTAGCACTGCAGGAAGGGCTGGGCAGAAGGGAAAACAATGTGGTTCAGGGACAAACTATGGGACATGTACGTTTAATTATTGGAAATATTTTACGCACTGGGTTCTTGGGTAGCCTAAGAGTTAAAGCATCAGCTTGTCATGCTGAAGACCAGGGTTTGATTCCCCACATGGTTACAATGTGTGAAGCCTATTTCTGGTGACCCACGCCATGATGTTGAGTCCAGTTCTTACTTCCTGTTAACATGGGTAATAGTGATACATGTATCTATTGTCTAGAATTTTATCAAGTGTCTTGTTAAGTATATCAACCTTATTTATCACACATGATTTTCCTCCTTGTTATGAAGCAGTATAAAATTCATACACAATTTGTTGAGTATGAGATAAATGGCTACAAAAAGGTAAAATAGTGTGGTAAAATGTCACTGCACATTTTACGAAAAAGTTCTCATTTTGCAGAATGAATATCTGAATTTTGTTTTACATTTTTTGTTGTTTAGGCCTGACCAATTTTATTTCTTGTGATACAGATCCACTGGTCGTATTTTTTCAAGAATAAGAACAAAAATAAAAGTTAATTTTCCCAGGTCAAAAATAAAATCCTAATGTTTTATTGGTCAAAAATGTAAATTTATAAGAAAAGTTTTTTCTATTTTGTGTTTTGCCCCATATACACTTCATAAATTTTAGTATTTATTTCTATTTTTTATTTTTTTGCTCCTGCCTTTCGGTTTTCTGAGGACAAAAATCTGTAAAACAAGAAATAAAATTGGTCTGGCCTTAGTTTCTATTTTGTTTGTTTTTGTAGTTGTTTAATCAAACAGAAAACTAACAGATTTTGTTTATACAGTAATCAAACCAACAGACTGTAATATTCACTAAATTACAAAGGAATTACAAAGTTCCAGATACACATGAGAGAAATGCAGTTTTTATTACAAGATCTACTCAGTTGATAAGCTGTGCTACTGGTAGGGGGATTTAATGAGGAAGTCTATATTACTGGAGTATAAGAGCTGTCATTGTGTATTCAATACCACTTGTGATTATGATTCATATGTCTCAACTCTGTGAATATTTTAAATGGTGAGAACAAATTGTGATTTTTCTCATTATGAAAGAATTTTGTACAGTTAACTTTAGTACTGTTTCAGTCAGTAATAAATAAGACTTTTTCAGTTTGTTTTGTTGAATGGTGATGGTCGGTTAAACCCCTCAGCCACCCTCACCCCTACCCTAACCCTAAATAAGATTATTGTTAAGCAAATGATGGAACAGGAATCAGTGTCTCTAACTACCAGTTGTCAAGCTTTTATTTTTGTGGAAGCTGCAGTGGCTGATTGGGTTTGATCGGAAGCTGGTGATGAGGTGCCCTGAGAGTGATGGGGTCCAACTTTAGATCGTTCATTGAATTTGTTTGCTGGCGATGAGGTGCCTGACTCTGAGAGTGAGGGTTCCTTGTCCAACTTTCACTTTTGTGGTGGCTGAGTGGGTTAGATCATTGAATTTGTTTGCTGGCGATGAGGTGCCTGACTCTGAGAGTGAGGGTTCCTTGTCCAACTTTCACTTTTGTGGTGGCTGAGTGGGTTAGATCGTTGAATTTGTTTGCTGGTGATGAGGTGCCTGACTCTGAGAGTGAGGGTTTGTTGTCCAACTTTCACTTTTGTGGTGGCTGAGTGGGTTAGATCGTTGAATTTGTTTGCTAGTAATAAGGTGACTGACTCTGAGAGTGATGGTTCGATTCCCAGATGGGACTGGACCCGACAAAAGTGCCAGAATCTGTACTTGATGAGAAAGTGTAATCCCAAATATAACCTGTCACATTTGACCACTGACAATGAAGTTGAGTTTAGAGATGCTGTAATTTGCTGTATATTTAAGTCTGATTACAGACAAACAACACATAGAGCATATGGGGACACAGGGCAGAATGAAAATGCCTTTTAAAGGCTTCAAGGAATATGAAAGGCATACCTGTCCTGTCAATAAAGATCATGAAATCCTTGAAGATGTGAAGGGGTTCTAAGCCAACTTGATGGTGTCCCTGTACTTGGAGTATACATTCCTCACATCTCCCGAAAATCATAACCACGACCATGTAGCCATAAAATATTAATTAACTGTCCATAATTGATTTACAGAGAATATTAATATGACAATTGCAGAATGGCCACGTGAAATCATCCTTCCCTCTCCACACACCCTTAGAGTGAGTGAATGAGTTTGTTTTTTTCGCCTGCTATTAACAATATTCCAGCAATATCATGGCGAGAGAGAGAGACACCAGAAATGGGCTTCACACTTTGTACCCATGTGGGAATCGAACCTGGTCTTAGCCACTAGGCTATACCTATACAAAAGATATGATATGATAATCCTTCCTGTGTCTTTCCTCACAGCTGTTCGTGGTCTAATGGATAGTGCGCCTGTCTCTTAAAAGTCGACAGTTCGATTCCGGTCGCGTCATAACAAAATATGGCAACAGATAGTGCTCTGACGCACTGAGTAAATTAAACAGAAACTGGTTGTCACAGACATAAGGCACTTTCGGTTTTGCCTACACTTAATTTCTTTCGGCAATTCACCACTATCAGTATCAAACATCACGCAAGAGATCCTTCAGTGCAATGAGTGAGTGAGTTTGGTTTTACGTCGCTTTGAGCAATATTCCAGCAACATCACGGCGGGGGACACCAGAAATGGGCTTCACACAATGTACCCATGTGGGGATTCGAACCCGGGTCCTCGGCGTGACGAGCCAACGCTTTAACCACTAGGCTACCCCACCGCCCCACTGGTTGCTCAAGATGCCACTCGTGACTGCAAGGTCGAACAACTGAGTGATACTTCAGACAGCCCTGAGGATGACAGGCAAGATCAAGACGTACCTTCGGTTCACCATTGGTGTTGTCTGTATGTCATCACTTGCACTGATGCATGTCCACAGAGACATGTCAGTAAACACACACCGTGTCATTGAGCAATTTGCTGCTTGGAAGACTAGGCGCATGGATTTCATTTGAGACTCTACATAACGTGCTGACAGTAATAAAGTTTACAGCCCAGGATACAGACTTTCTTTTCTTATTGATCTGCCGTTTGTTCAAATTATGTTTATATATAAAGTATTCAGGAGCTGGCATTCAAGCTTTCAATATGTATTCACAACACTATGTACATATATATAAATGGTATACTGACTACGCCGATCTGTTAACACCTGTATACTGACTTCTGTTAACACACACACACATGAAAATGCACGGAAAGTTGTTTTCTATTTTGATAAAAAGTAAATCAGCTGGAACATAATATTTTATGGCCAAATGGAATAATGACTGTAACATTTTCTTAGTAAATAATGACTTTTGCTAAAAGAGCTATTTTGTCATTGCTTGAATATGTTATAAAATGTTATGTTAGAATACTATATTTATCAGTTCAATTTCAGTAACTTCCCTTTTCTTATGGAAAGTTTGAAATAGGCTTCTTCAGGGAAATATACTCAAGAAATGCTGTCTAGAATAACCATTTTAAAAAAAATCGGTTTGGGAGGGGGATGGAGGGCATACCCACAAACACCCCTAGAAGTCGTGTACGTCCAGCTGTGCCTACACTTCGTTTCTTTCCTGGGTATACGCCCCTGTCAGTATTCTGTGTCTGAATGGGGTATCTATGTTCAGCTGCGGCATGGTATCTCGGTGAGCTAGGAGTATATTTAGTCGGCATTAGTCTTGACTAGTACAAGTAGCCACACACGATCGCCCAAGCACGTTGCAATATACACCCTAGGTCCCGATCCACAAAGCGTTCGTAACGTTACGACCTGTCGTAACTCTATAGTTTATCACAGGCTTACGAATGTCGTAGCGCTACGAACGCTTTGTGGATCGGGACCCAGCCATATATATTCCGAAA